TTTATAGGCTTTGTTTCATTTTGAAACATAAAATAGAAGTTACATATAATTATATTATGGAAAATGTACCTTATTAAATATTTACATCCTGCTCTTTGCCAAGGTTCCAGGTATGTCTTGGGCTCTATCTGAGCCCCATTTTCTTTACCTGCCATGTTTGTATTCTGTGTAACACTTCTTTTAATTTCTGAAATTTAGATTTGTATCTAGCCATATCTGGTATGTGGACTCTCTTACTTCCAAATTTTAACACCTAAGAAGTGACAAAATGGCCATCCTTACATAGCATCAGGTTTATACCTATAGTTCTCCTTTGGTATCCACAGGGGATGGTTCCAGAGCATGCAGTGGATACTAAAAACTTTTATAAGATGGTGCAGTCTCTTTTATAAGATGGTGTATCATCTATGCCATCCTCTCACAGACTTGAAATCATTTTGACATCACGTATCTAGAGTGTGTAGATGATATCTAGTGTCTGTAGCTAGAGTTTTCCTGCCTTGCCACAGTTAGGACAAATCTGTCACCCGCCAGTCCCACAGCCGCTCAGACCCAACCAAGTGAACACAGAGACTTATATTGCTTACAAACTGTATGGCCGTGGCAGGCTTCTTGCTAACTGTTCTTATAGCTTAAATTAATCCATTTCCATAAATCTATACCTTGCCACGTGGCTTGTGGCTTACCGGCATCTTCACATGCTGCTTGACCAATTTATTGACCAATCAGAGTAATTTGACATGCAGACCATCCTACAGCAAGTGTCTAACACAGTGTGAATGCTGAGGACACAATCTGTACATGTTTAGTGTAGACACTTTTTTAAAAAGCATTTCCAATCTGGGGTTTGTTGAACCTGTAGATGGGTGTCTCCCAGATATGGAGGAGACAGTTGTGTGTCTGTTTTCATTCTCTTTTCTGTCTCTGCCTCTCTCCCTCTTGATCCTTCATTTTCTTTCTGTTGGAGTCTAAGAAGTGTGTGTTAGGGTCAAAGCCTCAGCAGCAGTTACCATGGTAACAGAACGTGTGAACAGAAAGTACCTGGTTCAAAATCACCACTGTATCTCAAGTCCCAGCTGACCTCATTTTATTTGGTTGTGTAATGGGGCTAGGGTGTCATTGCCTCAGATCTGTAATATTGAGGAGGCATTTGTGTTGGGGGAAGAGGCTCAGACATTGATCGCCCGTGGTCTGCTGGGATGCTGACATTTACAGAGTCTAGGTGTAGGGAGCACAGGCATTGCGTGCATTGTAGTAATGGCATCTAAATGTCACAGGGGTGACAATCCTGTGAGGTAAGTTACTATTTTTAGCAGAAATAACCTAGGCCACCGAGGGTTAAATAATGTGCCCAAACACACTAGTAATGTGACTGTTGAGTGGATTTGAACAGTGGCACTTTCTCTCTCCCTCCCCCTCCCACACACTCCCCTTTGCCTCTCCTACCCCCCTTTTTTCCCCTCAATGTTCTTATCATTTACTTTTTGCTACTCTTTGTTTTTGAAGATTTTTCTGTTCTCCATCTCGTCCCTGTGCGATGTAACAGACACTGCTGACCACTGCTGTCGTCTGTGCTTTCACAAAAGAATGGCCTCCACAGGGAGCCCACTATGTGTTCTTTGCCCAACATTGGACAGTGCTGGTAGAGTGGACAAGATGAGGGGCCCCCCGGTCACGAGCTCTGGCTGAGCTTGCTTTTCTGTCTTCAGGGTCACTTAATGCTCGCAGCAGTGCTGAAGACCGATCTCCAGAGAATACCAGCTCCTCGGTGGCTGTGGACAACTTCCCGGAAGTGGACAAGGCCATGCTGATTGAGAGGATAGTGCGGCTGCAGAAAGCGCATGCCCGGAAGAATGAGAAGATAGAGTTCATGGAGGACCACATCAAGCAACTGGTAGAAGAGATAAGAAAGAAAACCAAGTATGTATTACTGTGGTAGCACAGCCTGTGTTAGAGGACTGCCATTCGCGTGGCCGTGAAACGGTGATCTTTTCCATGGGGTTCACCATGTTATCCAGGCTGGCATTGCATTCCTGGGCTCACGTGATCCTTCCGCATCAGCTCCTTGAGTAGCTGGGACTATAGGCAAGCAGCTCTGTGCCTGGCTTAGTAATTCCTACACATCTCGGGCTCCATCTTTTTTGATCACCTGTTGTATTCTAGGTTTAGGGCATACAAAGAAGAAAGACAACCAAATGTCTTCTTAAAGGGGGACCATCAGAGAGGAGAGAGGGAGTGGAGGGGTAGAGGTTTTGCTTTTACATACTAAAATAACTTGGGACTTTAAAAAATAATGTATTTAGCTTTTAAAAGTGAATGACTCTAAAAGATATATGGAGTTTTGAGAGTTGTTTCCTACTGGTCAAAACCTAGTAGGGCAATAATTGAGCTCCTCTTGGTGTAAGACACTGTCCTTGGGACTAGTTAACAGTTCCTTAGACCCACTCACACCCACTCAGCTGCAGAGTGGGTTCCCCGGATCTGTGAGACCAGCCCTGACCTGCGAGGACAGACCCCAGCTGTGCTCCAAACCCAGCTTGACTGAGCCGGTCTGGGCACCACGTTCCTCTCACAAACATCACACTTAGTAAGAGTTGTCTTCATGTGCAACTCTGCTCCTAACCCTTTTAAAGTTATTTTGAAGTAATTTTAGACCTATAGAAAATTTTGCTTGTAGATTTTAAAAGAAAGGGCAAAATAGAGTTTAATAGAAACTGTTAACAGAAATCAAACCAATAAAGTAATGACTAAAATATTTACATACACGTAAGGAAAGAAACAGACAAGCTGTGTTTCTATTTCTTTAAATACCATGATACAACAAAAAGGGACAGGTAAGAGACCATCTAGTAAGGAAATTCTGCACCAACTTAGGTTATTGGCCTAACAGATGTCTATTTTATGCTAATCATCTTTATGCTTGTGATTCATTGACTCCTACAATCCCAGTGTTTTTATTCTGCAAGCACACAGAGTATCATTTTGTTTTGCAGAATAATTCAGAGTTACATTTTACGAGAAGAATCAGGCACACTTTCTTCAGAAGCATCTGATTTTAACAAAGTGCATTTGAGTAGACGCGGTGGCATTATGGCGTCCTTATACACATCCCATCCCGCTGACAGTGGGCTAACACTGGAGCTCTCTTTGGAAATCAACCGAAAATTACAGGCTGTTTTGGAAGATACATTGCTAAAAAATATTACTTTGAAGGTATTTGTGTTTCTTACTCATTTACACTCAGTAAGTGTGACAGAATGATGCCTCTTCCTAGTATCGGCTCGTACTGGGCTGTTTGCCTAACACAAGACACCATGTTACCAGGAGAGAAAGTCAGCCTCTTGCCATATATTATAATTATAATTTTTTAATATTACAGCATTTGAAGTGTATTTTGTGGCTTTTTTTAATAGCTGTTGTCTGACCCAACTTTTCTGTCTTTGCTATGCATGGGCCTTGATAGTGATAGATTTTTAAAAAATAGTTTTAAATCTAAGTAATCATTGTGCATTAAAACTTGCTTTAGCTGTAGTGAAAAGATTATAACTTTGGGTCAGGCGTGGTATCACATGCCTTTAATCCCAGCATTTGGGAAGCAGAGACAGGAGGAGTTCTGTAAGTTTGAGACCAGCCTGGTCTGTCTATGTAGCGAGTTCCAGGACAGCCAGGACTATACAGAAAAACCTTGTCAAAAAAAAGAAAAATAAATAAATAAAAAAGGACAGGCCTATTTCACTAAAACATGTGTGTCTAGTCTAGTTCATCTTAGTGCCAAGAACTAATCACTCAGTTCCACTGTTTAGGCAAAGGTAGTTCCCAGGGTACTTGTATTATACTCAGTACTTCTGTTTTCTCTTCCCCACTTATTAAAGGAAAACCTGCAAACACTTGGAACAGAAATAGAACGCCTTATTAAACACCAGCATGAACTGGAGCAGAGGACGAAGAAAACCTAACAAAAAACTCTTGCCCAGTAGACAGACAAGAGCCGCAGACCAGCAGGTGCCACTGTCCAGTGTCCTGAAACAGCCCTTGCTTTGTGTCAACTAATCAAAAGTTCATTTTACTTCCCTGTGTAGAAGTGCCCTTTCATGAATGCATTGGTGTGTGTGCCGTACTGTGAGCTCAATGAAGTCCGTTTCTATGTGGTGCAGTTCAGCCACCTTGTCACTGACTCAACATCTAATTTACTTTTTGCCCTAAAGTGCTAAACATTAGTACAAGGGTTTTTAAAAAACAAAACGAAACAAAAAACTTTGCCATAGTTCTTCTGTTAGTGAGTTCAGCCTTTGAAAAGTATTCATGAAAAGACAGGTGTTCTCCATCCGTTATTTCTGCAGCACACAAAGACACCTAGAGAAATCATGAAGTTTTCAGTTTTGATCTGGGCATGGTGATCACCCTATAGTTCTAGCTACTTCGAAGGCTAAGGAGGATCTGGAGCTCATGAGTCCAAAGCCAGCCAGGGCAGCATCTCACAACCCCATCACAATTAGCTGGAATCACAGAGTAGCCTTGTGCTGTGATGTAAGGATGTATATGAATACTTAGTTCTGATTTTATTGACAACTAGACAGGAAAACTGGCTGCTGGTAACTAGCAGTGACCAGGCATTATTTGTGTTTGTCAGGTTTCCTTATTTGTCATAGCTGCGTTTTCACATTTGAGTTGTTTGAGTTACTAGTTGAGTTTTTTTACATCTTCAGTTACTTAAACTAAGATTTTAGCCGGGCGGTGGTGGCGCACGCCTTTAATCCCAGCACTCGGGAGGCAGAGCCAGGTGGATCTCTGTGAGTTCGAGGCCAGCCTGGGCTACCAAGTG